ATTTTTCCTCCCACAGGCAAGATACACTGTTAATAACAATAACGTGAGCTTCCTCACAGCAACCTGGCAATGACCTCTGCTCTGACCTGCAGAGACCACTGTCTCCAGAGGTAAAAGACAATTTAGTACTTTATCCTTTGTAACTGAAATTACTCCAGTGCCATAAATTCTAATCCAGGCAACTTCGATTTAAAATAAATAAATAAAATTAGATAATGTATGTTACCTTAAAGAGCAATATGAGGGACCTACTAGCAAAACACAATCAGTTAGAAACAACTTCTACCCTATTCTACTACAGCGTATATATGTACGATTATATAGACAGACGCATGAGGTTCTGAAACACGGATAATAACATGGGAAAGGAAAACAAAATCCCAAAGCCAGTGCAGGGGTTTGAAAATAAACCCTTGTTTACAGAAATGTGTGCAAATTCATTTAACTTGCATATTCCCGCTCCATATTTCAAGCATACAGAGCATTATGAAAAAAAAAAAACCAACCACAAACAAAAAACTGGTAGCGAACCAAATGAAACAACAGTCTCCAGATCCAGCACAGGAAATCTAAGATTTAATTTCACTAGAACAAAATGTTGCCAGCAAAAAAAAAAAAAAAAAAAAAAGAAAAGAAAAAAAGAGAAATATTTAGCAGTCAGATTTTTGCTATCCTGCAATTATTAAATGCGAAACACTTGTGCTACTTGTGCTCCACAATTAGAGCCTTGGTCTTGCACTCACTATATACTTGCAGCTTGGTTTATTTCAATGAGTTTGATGTGTAGAACTACAAGCTCAATCTCAAAGAGCAACTTTTTGTAATGCAGTAAAATTACCTTAACATGCAAGTGAATTCCTGGCTTTCTTTTTACCATCATCTAACTATGTCACAAATTATCTTAAAGTAAGGATGAATTAAGGACTGGATCTAATTCCAGGAAAGCCAGCCTCAGTCCAAAGGGCCTTTTGGTGCTTGATCTAGCGACTTCTTTCTTGGGATTTCAGCTGTACTGGTAATTTTATGCACGACGTCTCCCTGGTGTCTACACCAACTTTTGAACCTCAGCAGTTATAATATTACACACCTAAATACGACTAGTTGGGTTTTTTTCTTTACTAAAATTTTTTTCAGATCAATAGTTCATAACTTATTCTAAACGTGTTTGAAGATATTGCATAAAATGGCAACTAGGATTAATTAACTCAGGATCAAATCCCAATGTGTTTATTCAAGTGAAGCTATGACTTAGCATTAACAAAAGCTTTCTGTAGTAAGAGCCGTGGCATTTGGCCTGCATTACGACTTTAAAGCATATTGCAGAGTAAGACATGTCGATCTGAAAATGACACCACCAGGAATGTCATCAGCCAGACTCAGTTTCTCCATTTCTTAATTGCATCACATGATTAAAATAGGAGATTCTTCTTCACAAATGTTTTAGAGTAAGTAATATGCCACAAGATCTCTTGCAAAACAACTCCAGCTCACACTGCTCAGAAAAACTGGGATTTCTGCAATTGAAACACTGTAGCTGCGCTAACTCCACACTTCAAAACTGTACTTCTGACTTAATGTGTTTCAGGATAGAGTCCTTTACCAGTATTTTGCACTTCAGAAAGTATTTTTCACCACGATTTTTACTCCTTTCTTGTTTCACGTGATTTCAGTATCAAGTCCTCTGCACGCAGGTATGTGGATTCCAAAAAGTCTGCTGGTATAAATGCACAAGCAGAGGATTACAGATGTAAACCGCCAGACTATAGGGCATCCTTTTATTTCAAAAACCAAAAAAACCAAACCAGCCGCCGCCGCCACCACCACCACGAGAAAGCAAGCAGGCACACAACAAGCAGGCACAACCTCTCTAATCACAGCTGCTCCTGTCGTCACTCACAGGTAAGTACCACACCACAGTGACAAAGTGCCTCTTCCCAGACACCTGTGCACCAGTTTCAGATGGGAAACTTATCCCAGCTTGTGCTGGTGTTTGAGACTCAAGCAGCCACAGCATTCACCTGCTTTGTCACTGACAGCAAAGCACCCGTAACAGAAACAAAATTTACTGCATATCTTCCTAAGTCAAAGATAAGTATAATTAATTGTACTCCTGCCCTTTCCTCACCTGCAGCAGGGATTGTTATTGAAGAGGTCACATTTTAATGATTAATTGTGCTATCTGCACAAAACAAAAAATAAATATCCGCTATTTCTATAGTATGCAGTGAAATACCAAAACTAGCAAGTTTGAGACAAAGGAGGCGGATTTTAGGAAAAGGTACAGGTGAGCAATGCAGGTCCTTGCAGAAATAAACACATCCATCCAAAGAAGCTAAGCAGAATGTGTCCGGTGAGAAAGAAAAAAGCTCTTCGCATCTAATCACTCAACTCTGTTCATCTATATGAAAATAAGACTCGTGAAATACTGCTACATCAACAAGACACTCAAACATCAGTCATTCATTCCAACTAAATCAGTACACGATTTTCACAGATTTTCAAACACGAAAGCAGCAGTGTAGAAAAACTTTGTTCTCTATGGACCTGTCTCCTCCTCTTGACTTTCTAAAACACTCCTCCCTGTCCTGCTTAACAGATTTGGGGCAAATCTTCACACAGCTTGTATTAAATGTTATATTGTAAAAAGAAAATTAGTACCTCTGATCACACAAAAGAAAGTCGGAGGAGAAAATTGTCAAACTACGCCATGACATGTCAGTAAGTCCACAAATAATTTCATTTCAGAGATTGCAGAGAGAGGCCCAAAGTATGCATTCCTAACATGTTATTCATAACATTAAAGAGAGAAACAGTTATAGGATAATGCTCCATATTTATGCATCAAAGCTTTAAACTAGACTATACTTATTTTAAATGTTTACTGCAAATGTATCTTAAGGGATGCCTCTGTGACATAAAGGCTAATCATCTTTATTTTAAATTTGCTCGGTTTGATCCTAAAATATATCAAAATAGCCCACTGTCCTTTCTGTTATGTTCTCAGAGTTACTAAAATCAACTGACAAGGGCTGCTGCTGAAAGACTCATAGAATCTGTCATAATTGTAGCAGAACCTCACTAAATGGTACATGAGTTCATACTGAGGCAGTTGAACTAATTCACCTACTTTTGTTTACTTGGGAACATCTTTTTAGCAGTGTAAGAATGAGGCTAGCAAACACCTTACACTCACCAATAGAAACAGCACAATATATTAATTAATTTTTCATTAGTGCTTTTAGGGACCTAAATTACACTTGCAGTTCAGAAGGAGATAAGATATTGTTGCACATCATTTCTGTATCCCACATGGCAACTCCAACAAAAGTGTCTGTGTCTATTTCACTATTACTGCAGAGCATCCAAATGACAAGGGCTCAAAAAATATCGTGCCTTTTATTACAAAACTTGCCTGATCTACAAACAAACAGACACTTCACTACCCTCAAATTAAAAGTCCATTTTTCTTTTTATATATGCCTTGTAATACTTAGTAGATGCACCCTAAACATTTGAGTAAATGAAATACGTAAACACAGCTGAAGGTATTTATACTACTCTGTATAACTACTAGCCCTCTGGATTTTAGATGTTACAATTCTTTCCTGGATAAAATGGACTAAAACAATTTTTATATGCTTTTTGAACATTCAAACTGCTAATAGAAATTATGCTTTCCATGGAAACAAAGATTAATAAGAGGGTGCTTAAAAATAGATACGACATTCAGTAATGGTCATTACTGTAATCCATAAATTGAATTTTAGGATTTTAAAATTATTATTATTTTCCCATATCTGCAGTGAAGTTGTTTAGTAAAACATTTTGTGCTATATCTTTTAGTAAGGGGCAAAATTTTAAAAGAAAATTGCATGTATTCTTTTGTTTAAAAAAATCTTGCAGTTCTTACTGTAGCTGGAATACTGAAATCTGAACACTGCTACAGATTTCCTTACAGATTATGAAATCAAAACTTGAATCTTAGAAAATAGGCTCTCACCCTCTCTGCCTTAAAGCTGCATTCCTTTTAAACAAGGTTTTTTCCCTTCAACTTCCACCTATAGGGTCATGTAAAATAAGGAAATGCTCCATTTCTGTTAAGGTTTGTTTCAAGTCACAGATGGAAAGAATTAAAAGAAATTCCTTCAGGAGAGCAGTCCCTCTAAACCCAAAATGTCACTATGTACCATATAGTGCTGCTCCAGCTCAGACATCTATCAACATCTATCACTCAAGCACGCGCTTCAACAACTCTGCTCCCTTTTTGTGATTAGAGATCAGAGTTGCTTGAGTTGGCTTACAGGGTGTCATCCATTTGAATGACAGATGTCTGTGTTGGAGTGCCACTCTTGCTGCTTTTGTTTTGATTGTGAAAGGTTACATTTATCTGGTACAATTTAGATTATTTAAAAATAAATGAAAATTCAAAAGGTAATTTCCTCTTTGCACAAGCTTTAGAATAAATATTTAATTTATAATCTAAATTCCAAAAACATTAGCTTCTTGTGCAGTACACTTGGTAGTCTTTGTTTACTCAGTACAGAGTGTTTTCTATGGGAATGTTTCATCTCTCTTCAGCCTGCTTTATCTTTACCATACAAAATGATAACTTTTCAGTTTAATCCAGCCCTAGCAAAAGCTGGTAGCATACGAGACACATCAGCACCTAACACAGTATGTGTTAACAAACTACTCCAAGAAAATTACCATATCCCCCCCCATTTTTTTTACATTAGAGACCATGGATCAAAAAAGAACATAAAATGTCTGCAACTTGTGTAAAATAAGCTCATGGTTGACAAAAGTTTTCAGGAGTGGTGCTGTCTTTCTGGTAACCAGTTGCAATGGGAGCAGAGGGCTGTACGCCAGCACGCTCCAAGCTACTCCTTCATACTTACAAGAAAATTGTGGGAATGAGGAAAAAAAAAAAAAAGAACGGGGGGAGATTGCTCTTCCGGACAACATGGTAGCAGTGAAATGAAATACCTAGACAGACTTACCGAAGAGCTTGCTGGGAGTGTCCTCGCTGTCATTTGATTCCACAGGCGCAAGCAGGGGCTCATTCAGCTCGTTGTCTGAAGTAGCTGCCTTGTCCTCACCTCTCAACTCTGCATTCATTTCACTCCGCAGTGACAGCAAGGGCTTACTGACTTGTCCAGCTATCATTGGATCCTAGGATGGGGGGGGGAAGGAGAAAAAAAAAAAAAAAAAAAAAAAAAAAGAGTAAGAGGAAAAAAAAAGTGGCAGCTTTGGTGTGCGTATACTCTCTCTTCCACTCCCTCTCTCTCACACACACACATACACACTCTCTCTCTCTCTCTCTCTCTTATCTCTGGCTGCTCCTGCTGTTATTGCTGGCTGCAGTCAAGTGAAGAGCTATTACAGATCCAATGAGTTTTCCATTACTCCCCACCCTATTAAAGCTCAACTAGCATGTGAGAGATTCAGGATGCTTTGGAGAAAAACTTCTATGAAAGCAACATAACCAACACAGCTTTAATTGTGGGATGTGCTTTTTTGTGTGTATGTTTTTACACCTCACCCTGTCCTTAACATAGTAAGAAAAGACATTCCTGTATGCTCCAGCACTGTGGAAGAGGAGCGCCCTGCGAGCGCTCCATAGTGATTTAAAGAGGCATCCTCAGCTGTACATTAACAAAATCAAATATACAGATTCCAGCATTTCTATGAAAATACATAGCTGCAAATAGCCATTTCATTACATATATTCAACAGAGACACAGATTTCTTCTAACTGTTCCTGTCTTTGGGATACTATGCTCCAAAAGTCCATAAACACATACGTACATTTTTCTTTTGAAAATAAAAACCACAGATACCATTTTCTTAAAAGATAAAATTAGGGAAGATACTTACGCATACAGTTTGCAATTATTCTTGTGTTTGCGACATTATATCCCCCATAAAACTTACGCATATATACAGACATTTAAATTTTTTCTTGATGATTTGGATGTGTTTTATCTTCTGTTCATTGAGGACATTTGGGGGTCAGGCATTATTTCCAAGCACATACTATTATTCCGTTTGCAAACTAGTAGGCACAATATCATGACAGCATGGAAAACAGTAATAAAAAAACCCAAACTAAAAAAAAAAAGGAAAGGAACAAGTGACCTTGTTGCGCTCTCTGGCAGCTATTTATTGCAAAGTTCATGCCTAAATGGTTCTTATGCAGAGAACAGGTGACCAGCGAGCAAGTAGGTTGGTTAGCATGTTCCCTCTGTCCCGTCCTTACATTGGTCGATGTTTGCCTATGGGTTTTTTAATGTATTCATGTCTGAAAAGTGAATTTGATATGACACATGATAATCTATGAAAATGTTAATCAATACAAATAGTTTAAGCTGTCATCAAATGCACTTCTTTAGTCAATACTCATATCGCTGAAAACAATGTCACTGTCACCAGGGCTTAATTTGCACAGCACTTAAATATTGGACTCTGTGCATCAATGCACTCCTCTTCAAATACTGTAGGTAAACACATTTTCTCCCTATTTAAGGCTGAAGCACTCAGCACGCATTTAGCTGAGCCGAATCCTCCCTTTTGAATACCTTGATAGGTCCACTGGAGGGCAAAATTAATACTTAATTGAATCTCACAGTCATCAAAATAATCAATACTTTTTTATTATTTATTCTTTACAGTCTGTTGACTGTTTCAAACCTCTGAGGGAATGGTGGAAAGGATTCATGGCTTTGAAACACTGTCATTTAACAAGGTAATTTTCAGTGGGGCATTAGGGGTTGTGAAACATATAATAAAACAAAAATGGTGGCTTATAATAGGAAGAAAGAAAAGAATTATATTTCTGCCATCTAACAAAACAGGATAAATAAAAAGCAAGTGCGAAAGGGAGAGGGAGAAAGGAGGGGGAGAGGGAGAGAAAGACTGTCTTTTGAAGGGTTTTATCATATCAAGAGCAGAGCTGAGCTTTCATAATGCTGACATTTCTCATCCTGACAATCCTAAACAAGTGGAAAGGATGAGATCGCAGATATCATCTTTCATCACATTCCCCAGCTTAAGAACCAACATGACAGCTTCTCTCCCCTTTACACTGTTAATTACTAAATAAAATACTGCTCTCTGTCAGCATTAGATTATTGCAGATAGCAACCACAAACATTACTCCATTGTTTTGTTTTGCCTTTTTTTTTTTTTTTTTTTAACCAGTGATACCTACCTTGAACTCTTCAGAAAATAAATTAGGCTTGTGTCTACATATTGTAAATATATGAAACATAATCAATTTAATCAATGTGGTCAATCCATGTTATTGTCAGGCTAAATTGCTGGTGATTTATTAACATTTCATTTACTGTATTTATTAGCCAGCAACAATCTGAACATTTCTCAGATGTTTCTGTGGAGGAAACAGAAGTTAACAGATTTCTTTTACAGATGCTGTAAAAACACTCTGACCTGTTTTGCCTCACATTCATATTGCATTATGGACAGTCATTTACTGCGGCAAAAATTTTGGTTTTTTTCTTTCATATACTAAATAATGTATTTTAGCAGGTTTTACAGCTAAAGGTCACTGTGAACACAAACAGCATTGTTTCAAAGTCTGAGCTGCTGCCCTCAGTTTCAGCTGTTCAAAATTAACATCAAGAGTGGCTCTGTAACAAATGTCAATTAGGACAAAATTTGACCCTTTTCATCAAAGTGATTTGGGGAACTAATCCTGTCCACAGAGCTACACTGCTACTCTGAGGACTAACAGCAATTTAATGGAGGATGCCGAATCCGTAGGACTCTAGATTAAAGTCTCAGCTGCCAAATTTTGAAGTTGAATATATGAAAAATGGAAAGAAGAATAATGCAGGAAATGTGACAGCACTGGGAGAAACCTCAGCCCTTAGATGTCAGTGAATTCCCAGCAACTTCAATGGGGCCAGGATTTTGCCTGTTATGTACACCAATTATTCAGCCTCATCCTAGTACTTTGTTCAGTTCTGGTTAGCCCATGTAAGAAACATACATTGGAAAGAGATGGGCGGTAAGAACGATAAAGAGATTGAAAGGACTGGGAATGTTAACAGAAAAAAGTGAATAAGAAAAGCATGATCGAAAGTATACAAAATAATAAATGGCAGGGAGAAAATGTAGATCAGGAACTATTCACTCTATCTCATCTGAGCAGAAAAGGGGCCTTCCCTGAAATGGAAAAGTCATAAATAATAAAAGATACTTTTCCAAATGGGAAGTGGTGAAAACGTGTGGAACTCATTGCTGCAAGATGTCTCTGAGACCTGCACCACAGTAAGTGTTACAGTCACTCACATGGCTGGGCAGACTCCTAGCAGTGAATTTAAAACAGCTTTGCAAACACAGAGCCAAGGACTATAAAAACTGAAATAACATAAACTGCTGCCCCTCACTCAGACAGTACCAGAACCTGTAGTTAACCCCCAGGGTAGCGCTCTCTGTCAGGTGGTGAATGAATGACAACTTTCTCTGTAAGCAGAGGGATTAGGTACTGTCTAAAATTCTAGTCTACAAGAAGACTAAATAAATCACTTAAATGATGGGTTGAGGGAAGTTTTGTCTCCTTCAAAAACACGTTTTCAAAAAAATGGGCATTTTTTAACTTCAGGTTTTCTCCAGGCCTTCAATTGCTTTTTGTACTTAAGAATACATCTCTTCTGCAGTGGATTATGCATGATTAAAAATTATTATTTTTACAATAAGTGTAATAAATCCTAATTCCAGTGCACAGCAAGTGGCCTAGTCTGCAAAATCCTTGAGGACCGGAGGAATTGTTTCTATATTTCCCAATAGCCTCCCTAAAAAAATCGGAAAACACCTGGAGTAGTTGCTATGCCAGCTGCAGGCCCAGCAGTCTTCTCCTCATCCTCTGCCCGTTTACAAACCCCCACCCAGAGACAACCCATAGCATTGGAGAGGAGGCATTGAGGCAAGGAGTTACGTACACATCTTCAGCAGATAGTGCCATCAGGAAGTGTTCTCCTCCCTGCCCTGGATGTCTGTGAGTTTGACACTCAGCATTTGCTTTTTGGAAGGTGTTAAAGATCAGGTTACACTTTGCGCTGTAAAACAGGATCTTCCATTGACCGACAGCCACACAAAAGTTTTAGCTTTTCATATACAAAATCATAGAATTGCAAAGTCTAAGAAGGCATAAAAACCAACAAGATGAACTTTGTGAAAAGGGTTTATGTTCTTTAAGTAAGCGACAAAGGTATATAAAAGGAATACAATGCTTCAGAATTTCAGATGGCATAACCAAAAGAGCAGAGTTCTAGTTATGTGAGAACTAAGGAATTACAATCCCCTTATTCAAAACATACTTGTATATACCACACATGCAGTGACAAATTTTACACGCATCTCTTGCAGATACTTATATAACTCGTCATCTATTTCTTGTCCAACTAGCACTAGTATTTCCAGACTTGCCTGTTTCTATGAGATTTCACTGACAGTTTTGTGTAGCCAGTGGTCCTGCCTGCTGTGCGTCTCCCTTAAGGGTGGCTTATACCTCCTGTAATTCAGCTGCAATACCTGCTACACCTCTGTTAAGCTCTACCACTTCTAGACGATTTAAACAAGTTATAAGGCTTGATTTAACAGTAAAAATCATGTGGATTTACAAATGCAAATTACAGTTCTGGTTACATACCCTCTTTTAAAAGCCAAAACCTTTACCACCACCTTATCTGCAGCACTGTGTGAAGTGAGGAGAACACTTATTAACATGTTAGAAGCTTTGCTTCTGCACTTTAAGGGCGCAGTTTCTAAGCAAAACTATTTGGTAATCAAAAACAGCTTTTAAAGGAAACTATATGTTTTTTGTGTGAAACGTGCCCTAGGCAGAAGTCTAAAAGTGGGAGAAGTACTTTTATCCTTAATGTAGGACTTGGGCTTTATAAAGGCACTGGTTTAGCCACTGCTTTAAATTTTGTACTTACTGCATCATGAACAATTACTTTAATTAGGAGAAAAAGTAAGATCCTTTGTTTTGCATTTTATTTTGCCCTTAGTTTGAAGTTATTTTGCATAGACTTTATTTCTCTGGCTTAGATGTGCTTCACATTCTTTTTTTGATTTTTTTTTTCGGGGTTTTTTTGGGTTTTTTTTCCAAAATATGAAATAAACCCTGCTTCCCCTCTAGG